CTTTTGGCAACACATTTTGGCTGCCCTTTAACTCGGGAACAGCAAGTATTCTCCCAGCACAGCCAGGTATGCATACCAACACTGAAAAATGTTCAGAAATTTATTTTTTTTTCTCATTTATTTTTGCCTGACAGTTTGCTTCAGCTATTGTGGACCAGACTAACCTTTTTGCCCAACAATATACTTCTAACAACTCCATTTCATCCTATGCCCATATATGTGAATGGAGACATCTTACATTGGAAGAGTTCAAGTTGTTTTTGGGCCTCACTCTTAACACAGGGCCTACAGAAAAAAAAATGAAGGACATTCTTACTGGTCTACCCACCCCATCCACCACATGCCCATTTATTCTTCTGTAATGCCCAGGTCACTCTAAGATGATCATGCCCTTCCATAATTTCAGTCATTTTCATTTCCAGAGACCATCTCAACTATGACAAATTATACAAAATTCTCCCACTACTTAATTTTTTTCCCAAAGATTTGCTGAACCTTATGCCCCTGACCAAATCATATGTGTGGATGAATCTCTTGTTCACTTCACTGGCTGGCTGGGAATTAAGAATACATTCAAAGCAAAAGGACCAGATATGGAGTAAAACTCTACAAGCTTTGTGAAAGAGACATGGGATATTTGTATGCATTCCACGTGTACATTGGCAAAGATTCCCAGCTCCCTCCAGCCCCCTGAGTGCCCAACCTACATCAGCACAAGTGGAAACATTGTCTGGGACCTGGCTTTTCCATTTTTTCAAAATAGTTAACGCAACTACCTAGACAATTTTTATACCAGTCTGCCCCAATTTTTACCATGAGAAAACCTTGGCCTGTGGCAGCTCCCAAAAAAACAGAAGGAGCTTTCCACAAAGTTTAGTGAACCCCAGGCTACAAAGGGGGAATCAGCAAGTCTAAGAAATGACAAAGTGCTGGCCATAAAAGTGGAAGGATAAGAAAGATGTTTATGTCCATCCACAATGACGCCTTGGTTTTCTTCCTGCACTGACCTCGGCCTGTTAATCGACCATGTTTTTTGCCTGCCGCTTGGATTTATCTTTTTCCCTGCTACTGTAGTAGTGGGATTCAAGATAACACAGGGGTCTCACATGTGTGAGGGGCTTCAGAGTAGATTTCCAAATAGAGAAAAACAGTTTTTAGTTTTTCTCCAGGTTTTATAATTCCCAGAACAAGGTCTGTTAGTCCGGAGGCTTCAAAGAGATTGGGTGGGATGAAGACTAGAGATGAGCGAATCGAACTTGGCGAAGTGGAATTCGTTTCGAATATTAGGAAAAAATTGATTCGCACCGAATCCGAATTTTAGCAAACTTCGGATGCACGAATCGAATTTTCCCCGATCAGCCGGCAAAAAGTGTCACTGCAGAGAGCTCCGCTATTTCTGACAGTTCTCTGACAATTCTGACAGTTCATTTACAGCGGTTGAAACATTGTATCTATTTGTTTCCATTTAGGATACAGATGTTTTTATTCGGAAACAAATAGATACAATGTTTCAACCGCTGTAAATGTGAAGGAACTGTCAGAGAACTGTCAGAAATAGCGGAGCTCTCTGCAGATACACTTTTTGCTGTACTGGAATTCTTCTTCTTTTCATTCTTCTTCTTCTTTTTTCATTCTTCTTCTTCTTTTCATTCTTCTTCTTCTTCTTTTCATTCTTCTTTTCATTCTTCTTTTCATTCTTCTTTTCATTCTTCTTCTTCTTCTTTTCATTCTTCTTCTTCTTCTTTTCATTCTTCTTTTCATTCTTCTTCTTTTCATTCTTCTTCTTCTTCTTTTCATTCTTCTTTTCATTCTTCTTCTCATTCTTCTTTTCATTCTTCTTCTCATTCTTCTTTTCATTCTTCTTCTTCTTCTTTTCATTCTTCTTTTCATTCTTCTTCTTCTTCTTTTCATTCTTCTTCTTCTTCTTTTCATTCTTCTTTTCATTCTTCTTCTTCTTCTTTTCATTCTTCTTCTTCTTCTTTTCATTCTTCTTTTCATTCTTCTTCATTCTTCTTCTTTTCATTCTTCTTCTTCTTCTTTTCATTCTTCTTTTCATTCTTCTTCTTCTTCTTTTCATTCTTCTTTTCATTTTCATTCATTTTTTTTTCATTCTTCTTTTCATTCTTCTTTTCATTCTTCTTTTCATTCTTCTTCTTCTTTTCATTCTTCTTTTCATTCTTTTCATTCTTCTTTTCATTCTTCTTCTCATTCTTCTTTTCATTCTTTTTCTTCTTCTTTTCATTCTTCTTTTTCATTCTTCTTTTCATTCTTCTTCTTTTCATTCTTCTTCTTTTCATTCTTCTTCTTCTTTTCATTCTTCTTCTTTTCATTCTTCTTTTCATTCTTCTTCTTTTCTTCTTTTCTTCTTCTTCTTTTCATTCTTCTTCTTTTCATTCTTCTTTTCATTCTTCTCATTCTTCTTTTCATTCTTCTTCTCATTCTTCTTTTTCATTCTTCTTCTTTTCATTCTTCTCATTCTTCTTTTCATTCTTCTTCTTCTTCTTTTCATTCTTATTCTTCTTCTTTTCATTCTTCTCATTCTTCTTTTCATTCTTCTTCTCATTCTTCTTTTCATTCTTCTTCTTCCTCTTTTCATTCTTCTCATTCTTCTTTTCATTCTTCTTTTCATTCTTCTTCTCATTCTTCTTTTCATTCTTCTTCTTTCTTCTTCTTTTCATTCTTCTTCTTCTTCTTTTCATTCTTCTTTTCATTCTTCTTCTTTTCATTCTTCTTCTTCTTTTCATTCTTCTTTTCATTCTTCTTCTTCTTCTTCTTCTTCGTCGTGCCCCGTGACTGCCCAAATGAGTGAAGTGTGCGGTGATTCTAAGATCGACGGCACTCATCTGCATGTCATACTGACTGACAGTATTATTTCTCTTCCACAGCAGACTCCAAGGGCATTTAAATTAAAGGTACAGTGTTCTGCACTAATATAAAGGCTCTCTGAAGCCTAGAAACCCTTTTAATAAGTTAAATTGCAGCGAATAAATTCGCATCGAATCAAATTTCTCCCGCAAATTCGGCGAATCAGCCGAATCGAATTTTTGAATAATTCGCTCATCTCTAATGAAGACCTCTACCCCTGTGTCTCCTACATGACCAAAGCCCTAAGCCTGATGTCCTTGCCTGCTGCCTGGACCAATATTTTGCTGACCATATCTCTACCTGTGTCCTGTAATGACCCAGGATTTTTTATGGGCCTTGTTCCTGACTTCTGCCTGGACAAATACTTAGGCTGTGCTGACCATATCTCTGCCTGCTGCCGGTACTGACCTAGGACCTTTTATGGACCTTGTTCCTGCCTGGTGCCTGTACCGACCATGGCATGTTTATGGAGCATATTCCTGCCTGCTGTCTGGATGATTTCTTCTTCTGCTGCTGACCACGTCTCTGCCTGCTTCCTGGACCAATGCTCTCCTCAAACCACAGGTAATCTTTTGTTTACATTGTTTTCTATACAGTTGTTGTTGATTTGTTGTGTTACACAGGTTGCAATGTTGGGTACATAATCTGTTCAGACATTGAAAAAGTCTTACACATACCTGGCAGACCATAATCGGGATGAGTAGCAGATTGTATTTTGGGGAGTAATTCTTGGTATGTCCATGCTGTTAGAAATATCTTATAGATTGAAAACATTGTGTCAAAAAAATATATTTTCATTTTCTTTCCACATTTTTGTTGTGGAAAAAAATGAAATGTTCAAAAGACCCATTATGCCTTTCAGAAAATATGTTGTGTGTGTTTGCTTTAAAAAATGTGGTCATTTTGTGGGTGTTTCTACTGTGCCGGTGCTCCAGGGCCTTCAAAAATATAATAGGGAGTCAGGAAATTAGATGTGTCACCTAGAATACCTATAGGTGCTACTTGGATGTTGGGTCTCTCTGTGTGTCCAGGCTGTTGAAAAGTCTCATATATGTGATATTTCCATACTAAGGAGGATTAGCAGAATGTATTTTGGGGAGTAATGTTTATTATTTAAGTGCTATGTGCTAGAAGTATCTTATAAATGGACAGCTTTGCATTAAAAAAATATATAGTTTCATTTTCTTTCTACATTTTCTAAAAACGTGGAAAAATTACATTTCAAAAGACTCATTATGCCATCATTATTATGTACATCAGGTGTGATCAGGTGTGATCAGGTGTGATCAGGTGTGATCAGTTTGATTATTACCATAACTTGTAGACTCTATAACTTTCACACACATCAAATAAAATACATGGATGTGGGTTACTTTTACCAAAGCAATGAAGCAGTATACATTTTGGCAAAAATATACATAGAAAAATTACTTATTTGTAAAATGTTTATAACATAAACAAAGACAATGTGTTTTTTTCCCCCCAAAAAAAATTCAGTCTTTTTTCACTTATAGCTCCAAAAAAAAAATCCAGTGCTGATTAAATTCCACCAAAAGAAAGCTCTATTTGGGTAACAAAAGGACAAAAACTTCATATGAATACAGTGATGTATGACTGAGTAATGTCTTTTCATAAAATAATTCTTGCTAATGTTCTGCTAATTTGTTGTGTGTTCCTGATTTCTTGATCTCAGCTTTATGTTGATATGAGAAGTCTGTGGCTGGAGTTGGAAAAAATGTTTGTCCTATGCAAGGAAAAGCCTCCCAACTTCAGAGTTTAAAAAATCAGGGGCATCCTGACACAGCCAAGATATATGGCGGTTTCAATAGTGGGTGGGGTGAAAGGTAGGTGTGGCTACACTGAGATGAATTTTGGGCATGGCTTGAAGGGGCATACTCCAGCAGCACTGGGAAATGCCCTGGCATCAATGGGAGGAATAGTGCCCCAGCATAGGTAGTCATATGTCAGTGATAGTTGGAGGTATGAGCTTAGGTCTTCTGTGTGTAGTGGTATACCCAGCCCTGATTACACATTTTCTGTAAAGTTTCAACAGTCTTGCTGTTTATCACCCATTATCTCTTTTTGTTGCTACAGTACTTGATATTAAGGTGTTTTTGTATTTTTCAGGTGGAATCTGTGACTTACCTAGAGAAATCGGTCCATGTCGGGGATTGTTTAAACACTATTACCATAATAACATTGAGAACAAATGTAGTAAATTTTATTATGGGGGTTGTAGAGGAAATGGCAACAGATTTTTGACTAAGGAACAATGTGAAGCCACCTGCTTGGGAGGTAATTTTATTTATTTGCATTATCAGTGTGTGTTTCTCAATACTGCTTGATTTTAAACCTGAACTACAGGTGTTTCTAACCATCCACCAAAATGCTTCACTAAAGTCGTATTGAATATGTGCAAAAATTATACAGGTAGGCACAGGTCCTTCAACAAAAATATTGAAAAAAGATATGTGAACAAATGATGAAATATTACCCACAATTAAAGCAAAATAAAACACTTGAAACTAATATAAAGTCCAAAATGCATATAAGAGTCCCAATCACCGTGTTCTTGTTAAAAAAAAGGTGATAAAATCTTGAAAACATAGTGCTCCACCACAAGCAGATAAACTCCTCACTCACCAGATTTCAGTGGCCAACAAAGCAGCCTATAGATGTTTATTCCAATGCATGGGATAGCTGGAACCAATATGTCCATGGATGGCACTACCAACACTCATTCACCATGTAAAGCAAAAATACCACAGGAGCGCTCATAGTGTAACACAATTTATTAAATAAATAGATGTTAAAAAAACAAACTAAATGTACTCACAAACAAAGGTGCTAGAAATGGGCACCAACACAGACAGCTCACATGGGGGGGGCACAAGACTATGTGGTTACATACTCGCCTATATGGCTCCAGCATCAGTCCGATGCTGCAGCTGATCTCCCCTACTAGCTCTAAGACCTAGAACTGAGCAGTCACATGATTGCTGATCTCTCAGATCTCAGTCCAATCCCTGGTGTTCCTGCCAGTCTTTCTGCTGCTTTCTTTTAAAATGCTCACAAATCTGTGAATTCTTGGTAGCTGCTCAACACCGTAGGTGTTTTCACTCCACCCCTCCAAATTATGATACAAAGAATGATGCAGCGTAACTAAACAGTGTCTCTTAAATAAATCAGTGCCAAATGATGAAACAAGAAAAGTTCATAAATATGTATTTGTGGCCATCCACCAGTGAATTACATATATCACAGTCTTCGCTTCAACGGATCACGTGCATAACACCCTGTGAGCCATATGTGCTCATGTCTTAGACTGGACCGTAATCAATAATCAAGGTCAAAAGCACTTTTGCCCCTGTAGGGCAATACTCCAACTGGCATCGACACATGGACTGGAGCTTCTACTCAACCGCCTCAGCTCTGTGTGACTAGACTAGGTGAACCCTTAAAACTTTGTGAGCACTATGAAGACCTTCACACCTCTGAAAAGCTTTCAAAAATTAAAATAAAACATTAATTTTCCTTCCACTTTACAATTATGTGCCACTTTGTGTTGCTCTATCACGTAAAATCCCAATAAAATACATTTATGTTTCTGGTTGTAACACGACAAAATGTGGAAAATTTCAAGGGGAGGAATACTTTTCAAGGTACTGTAGATGGCTTGCACTATCAGATACATGTGTTTGAGAATCTGCTCCCTTTTCATTTCAAAGCTTTAACTTGTTTCTGTTAATCCCACATGTTGGACTAAATATGACTTTTGCCCCCCGCAAGTACCGGAACGCACTGTTATAATGGAGTATAAAATTTATATAGAAATGCTGTACATCTTTGCATTTGTTCATGTTACCTTAGAAAACTGTATATTTGGCCTAATCGTTTCTCATATGTTGATTAATGGGCTTACTATGTATGTAGCACCTACATGTTCGAATAGATTTTTTGAAGTGAAAAAAACTTCCTGAACTGATTCAGGATACTCTAGACAGAGGTTCCCAAGCTATAACTGGAGCTGGAATCCCAAAAGTATGTCTTTGGTGCTGTAGCTGTCAGCCCAGGAGTGCTTCAGCCCTCAGGCTGGGTCTTACTCCCCCAAGAAGAAGAGACTACTGTTCTAGGCCACCGTCTATTTAAATACCTCTTAGCCCCCTACTGGTCACTCACTCCCCTGACCAGGGATTTGCTGAGAGTGCATGAGTATCCAGGCCAGGGTCAAACTCTACCACCCACTATATCCCATAATTCATTGAGATTCAGGGAAACATAGTTGAGCCTGTACTAGCAGAACCCAGGACAACCAAAAGCAATTGATCACATCTTCTCTTACAATGGGGAAGGCTGAAAAATGTTTTTACCTTACATTTACCTGAACTCTAGCAGTTAACTAGGTGGGAGCTATATATATATATATATATATATTATATACACACACAGTATATATAAATATATTTTTTTCTCTCTCTCTCTCTTTGCCTCTCTCTCTCTTTCTCTGTGTCTCTCTGTCTATAAATCTCTCTCTGTCTCTCTCTCAATTTCTCTGTGTATACTTCTCAATTTCTCCCCAGAAAAGGGATGTAGCATGCATGCTACTGGGGTGGTTAAAGGTGTCTGTGGATTTATTGACATGACTAGTGCACCCGAGATAGGTTCATCCAGACCCCACTACACCACCACTACCCTTCCATACCAATCCCCTTTACTTACTATACTTACAGAAAACACAACACCAATTTTTTGGAGTAAAATGGCCAGCACGGCCTTTTATTAACAAATCAAGTTTAAACACATCAACCATTCCTTATAACAGAAAACATAAAGAGTTGTCGTTGGTCTTTGAAGGCACCCCCAAAACGATCTGAAATGCACCTGCGGACAACCATATTCCACTAGGCCTCCAGCCGCAACCAACCAGCTCGGAGACAACCATACCGTCCGCAGTGCAGCACCACCACCTTCCAGTTAAACCTTGGTTAACTGGAATGTTCCCGGGCACACTATACCAACGATGGGTCCCACACCATTTTGTACCTCCAAGATAAGAACCGCCCCCAAAGACAAACCACCGCCCAGGAACCGAAATAAACCCCCCCAGGAGGAACACAACACTCACCAAACAGGGAGGGTGGGAGGGAAGCTCTCTCTCCCATGTCCAGCTCCCAACTGACGCCCACCTCCCCAGGACACCCCCACCCTAAAGTGCAGAAGACCCCACCTACACTCCCCTCTACCAACCAGATCCCCCGCTATCCTTTACCAACCCTAATACTATCATTAACCCCTTACACGTCTTCCTTCCCACTCTGGGCCTAGTCATGCCTGCCCTTCGCTAATTCTTTTCTTCTTTTATCGCTGCGGGCATTTCTTTATGATATTTTCAGAGAATAGGTACACTGTATTGCTCTGGTCACAGTGAGTAAAGAAAAATGAAAACAAAAAAAAAAGTAAAAAAAGAATAAATTTTTTTTTGCCCCTGATCACCCCCACACCAGTTGTATGAGGAGGGTGTACTATACTGGAAACAGTATACTGTATATAAAAAAATAAAATTACAGAGTATGACAAAAAAATTACAACTTCAAAAAACTCACCATGCCTCTTACTAAATACCTTGGACTGTCTACTTTCCAAAAAGGGACATTTGGGGGTATTTATACTGTCCTGACATTTTTTGGGCCATAAGAAATGAGATCGGCCATCAGTACATTAAGATTGATTGATATTCAGATATATACCACAATTTGTAAACTATATAACTTTCCTACAGACTAAACAATAAACGCTGATTTGGCTTATTTTCACCAAAGAAATGTAGCAGAATACATTTTGGCCTAAATTTATGAAGAAAGATTATTTTTTATTTTATAACAGAAACAAAGAAAAATTAGTTTTTTTAAATGTCCTACTGAACAATAAAAGAGCCTGACATTTCCCCTTTCTTGATGAGCACCCAATAGTTCATTACACTGCAAGGTCTCTCCCCCTCCCTGCTAGTACCTGGGTGATGTGCTGGGGACAAGCATGGGGGTGAGTAGGAGATAAACGGAGCAATGTTAAAAATATTAAAAAATTTAAGTTGTCATAAAGCCCCTTTTGTTTTTCTATCAGGACAAGTAGATTGTCATGAGGGACAAGTAGATTGGGACCCCAACGTAGTTTTGTTTTTAAGTTTCCACACCCCTGTTCAGTAAAAGTCCATTTCACGTTTTTTACAGGGATAGAAGTTGCTGATGATCTCTCTTTCAATCCTGCTGCTCCTTTCCATCCTACAAGTGGTGAGAGTTCTCTCTAGTACAGTCTGATCTCAACAGGCATCCAAATCACACCTTCCCAGGGAAAAGGTTCTCAGCCTTTTTGCTTCTCTGACTCCTCGCCCGATTGTGGTCAGCAGGGATTAGTTTATCCAGCAGCAGATCAGTCTCTTTCCCACACACCTGCTTTCTTTCAGGACTGTGCCCTCACATGTTGTATTGCAAAAAGTGTGATGGGCGTCAGAAGTCTCAACCCTCTTCTCCTGGGAAGCACAGCATTAGATAACTCCATACAATTCTGGCCACACACCACTGTTCCCCATTCACTGCAACCTTGTGGTGCTTAGCACAGGAAAATGGTTGCATCAGCACATGGTCCCCACAGTGGCTTCCTCCCTGCATTTTGCATTTTGCAGGCTGTTTGCACAACAGAGCGATCTTCCCCCAGGAGCCCAGTTCAATCTCTCCCTGCTCTGTTGCATCAACCAATCACCCTCCTCTAGACCCAGCCAATATGGCTGCCTCCTGCACTGGAAACACTCTATATGCAAGCATTACAAAGTGGTCTCCTTAAAGATAGCTTCTACACTTCTGCATTAATGAATATTCAGTTCAACCCTGTCCATGTTGCAGAAGGATAATTCAGCATCAACAAAAGAAGAGGTTCCACAGCAGTTATCACCTACAGTCCATGTTAAACTTACCTCAATAGCATCACTGGATAGCTGTTAACCACTTCAAGTCCAGACACTTTCACCCCTTTTCAGTTCAGGCAAATTTTCAGCTTTCAGCGCTATCACACTTTGAGTGACAATTACTCAGTCATGCAACACTGTATCCATATGAAATAGTTTTCCTTTTTTTTTTTTTTGATACAGATAGAGCTTTCTTTTGGTGGCATTTGATCACCACTGTTTTTTTTTTTATTTTGCTATATAAATGAAAAAATACCGACAATTTTGAAAAAAAAAAATTTGTTTTGCTTAATTTTTCTTATAACATTTTGCAAATAGATAATTTG